TTTCTTACGGTCAGGTTGTCTCTTGAATCAGGTGCAAGACCAGGGAAGGGGGAATTCTGCTTCTACTGGAAAACTCCTTTTATCTGATTTCCTCCAGCCATGTTACAATTCTCCTTGTATTTTTACTCTTAAAAAGGAAACGTGTGATGGACCCTTTTAGGGAGGTGTGGAAGGAAATCGCTATGTGTGAATTCCCTTCAAGTCTCTTCCCACTGCTTGAAAAGTTTAGGAGCTTGTTGGGGAATTAATTGGATGGTCAGTGCCCCGTGAGATGGCTTTGATGGTCAGTGCCCCGTGAGATGGCTTTGATTGTAATCTGTGAAATAAGCTGCTGGTGATTTCTGTTGCTTCACAGCTTTTGGTAATGAACTATATTTTTCCTTCTATAAAGTGGGCCTGTCATCCAGGCAGAGGAATGGCAGCTGTCAGTGCTTCAAAGAGGGCAGCTATGCAATCTATCAACTGGATATTGCTGGTTACCATTTAACCGCTAGCCTACAGGGCACTTATACCCCCTTCCTGCCCAGGCCAAGTTCCAGATCTCAGCGCTGTCACACTTTGAATGACAATTGCGCGGTCATGCAACACTGTACCCATATGAAATTTTTATAATTTTTTTTGTGACAGATAGAGCTTTATTTTGGTGGTATTTAATCACCTTTGGGGTTTTTTATTTTTTCTTAAACAAACCAAAAACCACAGAAAATTTTGAAAAAAAAAAGTTTTTTCTTAGTTTTTGTTATAAACTTTTGTAAGTAAGTGATTTTTCTCCTTCACTGATGTGCGCTAATGAGGCTGCAGTGATGGGCACTGATAGATTGAACTGATGGACACTGATAGGTGGCACTGATGAGGAGGCACTGGTAGGTGGCACTGATGGGCATTGACAGGCATCACTGATGGGCACTGAAAGGCAGCACTGATATATGGCACTGACTGGCACTGTTAGGCGGCACTGACTGGCACTGTTAGGCGGCACTGATAGGTGGCACTGATTGGCATTGATGGGTGACACTGAAAGGCAGCTCAGATGGGCACTGATATGTGGCACTGATGGGCACTGGCACGTGGCACTGTTCAGCACTGACAGCTGGCACTGATGGACACTGACAGGTGGCACTTCTGGGGCCCACTGATGATCAGGGCACACTGATCATCAGTGCCCTGATGATTAGTGTTCATGTCCCCTCCGAGGAATGCTCTCCTCTCCTCTCGAGCTGTCAGTGTGACAGCTCGAGAGGAGAGAAATGCCGATAACCAGCATTTCCCTGTTTACATGTGATCAGCTGTGATTGGACACAGCTGATCACATGACCGAGCCGACGTTTTCGGCTCTGTCTGTGGATCGGTGATCCACTGAGTCCAAGGGACATAGCGCACCACCAATCGCCACGCTGCGCGCTCCCAGAGTTGCATATACGCGGTGAGAATGGGAGGACATCATATGACGTCCTCCCAGAACGAGAGAACCACCTTGTGCCCGTCATTGGACTATATGGCGGGCGGGAGGTGGTTAAGGTCATACAGGTTGGATCAAAGGATTGGAGAACCACAACGAAATGCTGATGTCAAAACAGGTTTTATTCCAAGCATGTAGCAAACTCACTATCCAACGCGTTTCATCAGCCTCACTTCACACCCTTCGTCAGGGCTTAAGAGAACGGCTGTAGGAGGACTTATGATAAAATCAGGATATTTGTATGTTTAAAAAAAATGGATCTTCAGCAGCTGGCAGATAATATTCAGATATTCTGATTTTATAAACAGCCATTCTCTTAAGTCTTAATAAAGGATAGGGGGGTGATGTCCTCGAAATGTGTTTGGGCTATTGAGTTTGATACCTGCTTGGAATAAAACCACCTTTTTTTAATCTCAACAATTTTGGTGCTGAATTCCAGTCCTTCAGTCCAGCCATTATATCTATTTCCTGAGGCTCTCCGTGAGGGACCTCTGGTGCATGGAAGTGGCCCACACATCACCCAGATGCCCTATTGGGATCAAATGAACACAGTGTGTTTGACAATACCAGTTATAAGGTATAATTGTTATTTGGTTTATACCAAATTATGTATAGATCCATTTGATTTATAGTGTCTTCTGAGTCCATTCAAATCCTTATCTCATTCTCGGTCCCTATGAAGGGGAGTTTTGTTGCCCCCGAAATATGTTTGATGTTTTAGTTTGATTTGAATAATGAATAACTAGAAAAGCTACAATTTCTGGGGAAATTGTGTGAAGTGTTCTTGCCTCCACCAGTAGTCTACAACTGGAGTGGGCGGAGTAACTAGGTGGAGTGGGCGGAGTAACTGTTGTGTGGTTGGAGTGGCTGGAGTAACTGTTGTGTGGTTGGAGTGACTTGAGTAACTGTGAAAAGGTTGGACTGGGCAGAGTAACTGTGTGGAGTGTTTGGAGTGAGTAAAGATAGTAAACATTACACTAACCAATTGATTGATCAAATTTAAAAAGTGCACATGGCAAGCTTGATAGAGTGAGAAATGCATTTCAACTTTTATTTTTCAGCTAACAGTCTAGCTTTTGTCACTCTGCTGGCTGCTCACACACCTGGGTTCCTATGGCAACTCACTCTACAGCAAGGGCAGAGAAGAGCGGTTAAAAACAAACTGCTCCAACTTGCTCACTTCACTGGCGGTTGCCATCTTCAAACGGTTGTAGTTTAAAAATTGTAAATTCTACACCGAAGAGTGTTATATTGTGGGAATTACAAGACCCAGACCTACATTTTGATGCATAGTATATCTCTGAAATATTAAAAATGAAGGCACAGTCGCAGTTTATAAATTGCCCTTCAAATTTGAGGTGGCTAGAGTGCAGTTTCAATGACTATCAATGGGCAGCGTGAGTTGCAAACAAATGGTCATATTGTGAAAACTATCAGGACTATAGCCGTGGACATTTTTTAGTGGCAGCAGGGATAGCTGAACGTTTTGATATAAGATTTGTGTGGGTGGGCTTGAAAATGAGGGAGTGATGGCAGTTTAGAAATCATGTCCTGATTTTTCAGCTCACACTCTAGCTTTTGTCAGCTCTCACTCTCGTTTTGAACATTCCGCCATTCATTCCCTATGGGACCAATTTCACCACAAAAATGTCGATATTTCGTGAACCATTCGGCCAAACGTTCCACAAATAATAGCACAGCAATCGGAACAATCCGCACGTTTTGGTATATTACTGTCTATGTAGTGTAAAAAACTGTGGGAGGAGTTAGGGTGGTAAATTTGGCTATAATAATAGGAATATATATGTGAGATAACAGTAAGGGTCGCCATGCAAGAACACTTAACTAAAGGCATCTCTGGACTTTCATGTTTTGGTCTGGCTTTGTCTTCAGTCGGTCAGACCTGACACACAGAAAACAGCCGTAAAGCTCTATCAGTCAGAAATCAGAAACTGTATATTTATTTCAGGTACTTGTATAGCGCCATCAATTTATGGAGCACTTTACACATATATTGTACATTCACATCAGTCCCTAACCCTCAAGGGGTGTACAATCTAAGGTCCCTAACTCACATTCATACATACACATACTAGGGACAATTTAGACAGGAGCCAATTAACCTACCAGCATGTCTTTGGAGTGTGAGAGGAGACCGAGGAAACCCACGCAGGCACAGGGAAAACATGAAAACTCCAGGCAGAAGGTGTCATGGTTGGGATTTGAACCAACAACCCTAGTACTGCCAGGCAGAAGTGCTAACCATTTAGCCACTGTGCTGCCCATATGTAATGAACAAATCTGCCCCATGGAGATGTTTATTGACTAATTTTATACATGGAGACGGGGGGATGGTGTTAAACTACTAATTTCAAAATTAGATCATTTATAATGTACTTATGACTTTCACTTATTAATCTAAATTCTGTTGAACAGTAGTTCCCCTTTATTATTATTATTATACAGTATTTATATAGCACCAATAGTTTGCTCAGTGCTGTACATTATAGTGGGAGACAGTACAGTAACAATACAATGCGATACACGAGGGGTTCGAGGGCCCTGCTCCTTGGAGCTTACAATCTAGGAAAAATGGTACATTTTGGTAAATTCAGTCTCCACCTATGGTTTTGCATCAGATCAGAGCAGTTTATACCTCCATTCTCCATCCATTGTGTCATTCCTGCTGCATAGTCTGGTCTGATATTCATGTTTAACCAGCACTGATCTTGCCAGTTTGCAGGATTGCCTGTTCCACGGGACACCATGGAACTAATTATCTCGCTGTTTCTTTGGCAGATTGTAGGATGTTGCCTTCGGTGATCCTGGACTTCCCTACCTGACCGTTCCTGAAAGGCACACCAGAGGCGCCTGGGACCAAATCATGCTGTGCCCCTGCCGCAACAAGTCCCGGCTGTTGATTGTCACCATTTTGCTGCTGTCCGTCGTGACCTGGCTGTACCTGTCTGTCGGTGACACGGGATGTGAGTGTAATCTTCACATGTGAGATAAAACATATTTGCCAAGTTTAATGGCTTTTATGGAAAAAAAAACTGTTGTTTACAGATATGGAGAACTTGAAGCCCAGATTACATGCACAGTTTAACACCCAGTGTCAGATTGCCCGCCACACTATCACAGTCCCAGTATAGGTCGCTGATCACCGCCATTAGTAGTATTTAAAAAAAGAAATTTAAAAAAAAAATCCAATATACCATAGTTTGTAGATGCTTTGACTTTCACCCAAACCAATCAATATACACTTATTGGGATTTTTTTTTTTCTTTTCTTTTTTTTTCTTATTCAGAAATTATGAAAAAATTTTTTTAATTGGCTATATTGTATAGCAGACAGTAAAATCTTTTTTTTTTTTTTTTTTTTTTCAAAAGGTTTTCATTTTATATAAAACAGTGGCGATCAAATGCCACCAAAGGAAAACATATGGGTGAAAAGACATGGGGTACAGTGTTGCATGACCGTGCAATTGCCAGTTAAAGTAGTGCAGTGCTGAACAGCAAAAAATGCCCTGGTCCTGAAGGGGGTAAAACCTTCCAGAGCTTAAGTGGCTAAAGTTTAAAAAATAAAAAATACAAATTTTTTTTTTTTAAATATAATACTAAAACTTTAGCTAAAAAAAGGATGAAAAAATTATGAACAAAAACGAATATAATTCACCTTTTATAGCTCAATAGTTCAATATGGTTAAGTGACGTGTGCACACTATATAATATACTGGTGAAACGCGAAAAATTAGAGTATTGTGCAAAAGTTCATTTATTTCAGTAATGCAACTTAAAAGGTGAAACTAATATATGAGATAGACTCATTACATGCAAAGCAAGATAGTTCAAGCCGTGATTTGTCATCATTGTGATGATTATGGCTTACAGCTCATGAAAACCCCAAATCCACAATCTCAGAAAATGAGAATATTGTGAAAAGGTGCAATATTCTCGGCTCAAAGTGTCCCACTCTAATCAGCTAATTAAGCCATAACACCTGCAAAGGGTTCCTGAGCCTTTAAATGGTCTCTGTCTGGTTCAGTAGGAATCCCAATCATGGGAAAGACTGCTGCCCTGACAATTGTGCAGAAAACCATCATTGACACCCTCCATAAGGAGGGAAAGCCTCAAAAGGTAATTGCAAAAGAAGTTGGATGTTCCCAAAGTGTTGTATCAAAGCACATTAATAGAAAGTTATGTGGAAGGGAAAAGTGTGGAAGAAAAAGGTGCACAAGCAGCAGGGATGACCGCAGCCAGGAGAGGATTGTCAGGAAAAGGCCATTCAAAAGTGTTGGGGACTTTCACAAAGGAGTGGACTGAGGCTGGAGTCAGTGCATCAAGAGCCACCACACACACAGACGGACATGGGCTTTAAGTCAAGCCGCTCCTGAACAACAAACAACGTAGGAAGCGTCTCACCTGGGCTAAAGAAAAACAGACCTGGTCTGTTGCTCAGTGGTCCAAAGTCCTCTTTTCTGATGAGAGCAACTTTTGCATCTCATTTGGAAACCAAGGACCCCGAGTATGGAGGAAGAATGGAGAGGCACACACTGCAAGATGCTTGAAGTCCAGTGTGAAGTTTCCACAGTCTGTTGATTTGGGGATCCATGTCATCTGCTGGTGTTGGTCCACTGTGCTTCATTAAGTCCAGGGTCAACGCAGCCGTCTACCAGGAGATTTTGGAGCACTTCATGCTTCCTTCCACAGACGAGCTTTATGGGGATGCTGACTTCATTTTCCAGCAGGACTTGGCACCTGCCCACACTGCCAAAAGCACCAAAACCTGGTTCAATGACCGTGGGATTACTGTGCTTGATTGGCCAGCAAACTCGCCTGATCTGAACCCCTCAGAGAATCTATGGGGCATTGCCAAGAGAAAGATGACAGACATGAGACCGAACAATGCAGAAGAGCTGAAGGCCGCTATTGAAGCATCCTGGCCTTCCATAACACCTCAGCAGTGCCACAGGCTGATAGCTTCCATGCCACGCCACATTGAGGCAGTAATTGCTGCAAAAGGGGCCCAAACCAAGTACTGAGTACATATGCATGCTTATACTTTTCAGAGGTCCGATATTGTTCTATGTACAATCCTTGTTTTATTGATTGCATGTAATATTCTAATTCTCTGAGATTGTGGATTTGGGGTTTTCATGAGCTGTAAGCCATAATCATCACAATTATGACAAATCACGGCTTGAACTATCTTGCTTTGCATGTGATGAGTCTATCTCATATATTAGTTTCACCTTTTAAGTTGCATTACTGAAATAAATGAACTTTTGCACCATATTCTAATTTTTTGAGTTTCACCTGTAGATCTAAGGTCTGATTTTCCATTGTGTATCCATGTCTGTCTGAGCTTTGTATTGCACCTTTCAGATGGTCCGTCCCCAGGGGTTGCCGCCCCTCGTTTTCCCTCCAGAGCCTCCTCCCAGCAGGATTTGGAAGTCCGCCTTCAGGAGGCCGAGGAGGAGAACCGAAGGTTGCGCCTGCAGCTGGTGGAGCTTCGAGGCGAAGATCAGGGAACAGACGGAGACAACAGCAGCCAGTGTTCTCAGAGGAGTCTGACGGAGAAATGCGAGGTGAGTGAACCTATGTCTGGTGTTCATCACATCGCTTATCCTCTGTTAAATGTTTACTGACATCCTACGCTTTCTCATAACAAACCCCAACAGCTGCTTCCACAGAGAAATATTTACTCATTCTTCCTTTTGCAGCGGACCAAACAATCAACAGGGGAAAAAACCAGCATTAGCAATGCCCGATGTAGTTAAAGGTGACCGGCCAGGATTCAGAATACCTGTTTGGGAAACCTTAGGTGGAAGTTGTCTTCTAGGCTTTTAACAGATATTAGTTGACCGTCAGAGAATTGTTCTCCACACACGGAGTAGATGATATTGTGAGATGTCCTTTACAGCCATGGTCTCCAATCTGCAGCCTGGGGGCCAGATGTGGCCCTTTGCTTGCCTTTATCTTGCCCATGGTACACTATTCCTTCCACTGATACCAACAATGGTACACTATTCCTGCCAATGACACCAACAGTGGGGCACTATTCCTCCCACCGATACCAACAATGGGGCACTGATACCAACAATGGGGAACTATTCCTGCCAGCGATTCCAACAATGGTACACTATTCCTGCCAATGATACCAACAATGGTACACTATTCCTGCCAATGATACCAACAATGGTACACTATTCCTGCCAATGATACCAACAATGGTACACTATTCCTGCCAATGACACCAACAATGGTGCACTATTCTTGCCAATGATACCAACAATGGTGCACTATTCATCCCACTGACACCAATGATGGGGCACTATGCCTTCCACTGAAGCAATGATGGGGCACTATTCCTCCCACTGACCCCAATGATGGGGCACTATGCCTTCCACTGACCCCAATGATGGGGCACTATGCCTTCCACTGACCCCAATGATGGGGCACTATGCCTTCCACTGACCCCAATGATGGGGCACTATGCCTTCCACTGACCCCAATGATGGGGCACTATGCCTTCCACTGACCCCAATGATGGGGCACTATGCCTTCCACTGACCCCAATGATGGGGCACTATGCCTTCCACTGACCCCAATGATGGGGCACTATGCCTTCCACTGACCCCAATGATGGGGCACTATGCCTTCCACTGAGCCCAATGATGGGGCACTATGCCTTCCACTGAGCCCAATGATGGGGCACTATGCCTTTCCACTGAGCCCAATGATGGGGCACTATGCCTTCCACTGAGCCCAATGATGGGGCACTATGCCTTCCACTGACCCCAATGAGAGGGCACTATGCCTTCCACTGACCCCAATGAGAGGGCACTATGCCTTCCACTGACCCCAATGATAAAGCACTATGCCTTCCACTGACCCCAATGAGAGGGCACTATGCCTTCCACTGACCCCAATGAGAGGGTACTATTCCTCCCACCTATACCAACGATGGGGCACTATTCCTCCCACCTATACCAACGATGGGGCACTATTCCTCCCACCTATACCAACGATGGGGCACTATTCCTCCCACCTATACCAACGATGGGGCACTATCCTCCCACCTATACCAACGATGGGGCACTATTCCTCCCACCTATACCAACGATGGGGCACTATTCCTCCCACCTATACCAACGATGGGGCACTATTCCTCCCACCTATACCAACGATGGGGCACTATTCCTCCCACCTATACCAACGATGGGGCACTATTCCTCCCACCTATACCAACGATGGGGCACTATTCCTCCCACCTATACCAACGATGGGGCACTATTCCTCCCACCTATACCAACGATGGGGCACTATTCCTCCCACCTATACCAACGATGGGGCACTATTCCTCCCACCTATACCAACGATGGGGCACTATTCCTCCCACCTATACCAACGATGGGGCACTATTCCTCCCACCTATACCAACGATGGGGCACTATTCCTCCCACCTATACCAACGATGGGGCACTATTCCTCCCACCTATACCAACGATGGGGCACTATTCCTCCCACCTATACCAACGATGGGGCACTATTCCTCCCACCTATACCAACGATGGGGCACTATTCCTCCCACCTATACCAACGATGGGGCTCTATTCCTCCCACCTATACCAATGATGGTGCACTATTCCTCCCCCTAATGCCAAAGAGTAGGCATTGTTTACGCTCACTGATGCTGGAGCATTTTCTGCTCCCACTGGCCACAGTCTGACCCCCCTAAAGTCTAAAGGACAATAAACTGGCCCTTTTTGTTTATAAAGTTTGGAGACCCCTGCTTTAGAGGAAACTACTGCCAAGGGTGTATTACCAGGCGAGGAGCCACTATTGCCGACTTCTGAAAATGCTAATTGCCTGGCTGTTAAGCCTGACAGCTTCTATACTTCCCAGTCACAAACCATATACAAGTATACTCATCCAGTGCCCTCACTTCACTCTGAAGGCAACTAGCATTGTAATAAGAGTTTATTAGTGATGGTCCATTCTGCTGGGTACATGTTTACATGAAGAATGCAGGTTCTGGCATCCATACTGAGCACTCCTATCTCTTTGCCTCTCTTTCAGCTTATTCACGTTGCTATTGTATGTGCTGGACACAACAGTAGTAGGGATGTGGTGACCTTGGTGAAGTCCATACTGTTCCACAGGTAGGTAGTCAACTGCATCAAACCCTCCATCATAAGTGCGGGTACTGCCTACCTCCAGCCATATCATAGAACTTTTTGGATAAAGCAGGAAAGGTTTAGAGCTTCAGTGAGGTTTTAATGCAATATTAAGCCCTCCGTTTTTAAGCACTTTATGCAGCTGATTTAATCACTTACTGAGATGCAGCTTCTTTATCTTGTAATCCTTGCCTATGTTCCAGTTTATGCTGGTGCCATGATTACTGCCTCAGGTTTCCTGTTTCAGAGTGGCTCATTGCTCTTGCAGCATCCTATGGAGCAACCCTTGCATGCAGGGACTAGAGATGTCTCCCTACACTGTGTGTATCAATAGAAACACACAGCCTTGTAGCGTAGGATGGCAAGGCACTCCTCAGCTACTCTCTCCTCCTCCCCATCCCTTCACCTAGCTATCAGACTGGAGACTGCACTGCCCACTTTCAACTCTTTCCTGTGAAGACCAGAAGTTCAGAGAAGCAGTGCTGAGAGAGCAGGAGCCAGCAGCATTGAAAGTTGTATACTGCAAGTGATGGAGTAAGACTGGGGAATCAGTGCTCAATGTGTTCAACTAAAAAAAGCTGAGGGTTTAACCACTTCCAATCCAGACACTTTCACCCCCTTCCTATCCAGGCCAATTTTCAGCTTTCAGAGCTGTCACACTTTGAATGACAATTGCACGGTCATGCAACACTGTACCCATATGAATTTTTTTAGCATTATTTTGAGACCGATAAAATGTTATTTTGGTGGTATTTATTCACCATTGGGGATTTTTTTTTTTTGCTATATAAATGAAAAAGTCTAAAAATTTTGAAAAAAATTGTTTTCTTATAAAATTTTGCAAATAAACAATATTTCTTCATAAATCTTGGCCAAAATTTAATCGGCTATCTTTTTAGCAAAAAAAAAAAAAAATAACCTAAATTAGTTTATAATCAAAAATTTATAATTTTTAAAAAGAACTTATAATTTTTTATAAAAAGAACTTTTTTACATTTTTATTTAATTTTTTTATATTTATTTTTTTTAACATACTTTCACCCTATCAGTAGTGTCACCATAGTGACATTGTGCTACTTGTGGGGGGGGGGGGGGTGATGAAGTTTTTTTTTTGTTTGTTTTTTTTTTTTTTTTTTGTTTTGTTTTTGTTTTGTTTTGTTTTTTAACACTGATTGCTGTTACACCCAAAAAGGCTGTAAAAGCAATCATTTCTCTTTCTCTCTGTCTGCATTCTTGCAGCCTTTGAGAAATACTGTGTGAGCTGTGATTGGTCACAGCTTGTCACATGGTACAAGGCTGCTGTGAATAGCCTTGTACCATGTGATCTCTGTGATCATTCACAGATTTCACACGTAGTAAGCAATGATGTCACAAGTGACATCTTGCTTACTACTATTCATGTGATCACTGATTGGCCAATCCAGTGATCACATGATTGGGACCTCACACAGAGGTCCTGTACAGCGATCGGTGTTCGCTCCCCAGGGAGCGCGCACAGCCTGAAAATGCGGGCGCTGTTTGTAAACGGCAACCCGCCCCTGCACTGCTCCCGTCCGGCTGTTTATGTACATAGGCCGAACGGAAGTGGCTAATACTACTTAAGGCTAGGTTCACACATATGCAATTTGCGTTTCTGCATTGTGTTTTGTGGTGCGTTTTGCACATACGTATTTGACGCTTCTTTGATGTGTTGTACATTTTATTTTTATTTTTTTTGTTGCTAGGCAGATTTAAAACTCTGCAAAAACCACTACATGCTTTTTTGCAGCGTTCCTATTAAAGTCGATAGAACCCGAACCGCAACTTTTTTGCATTTAAAAAAAGTCCCTGACCCTTTCCAAAAAACGCACTGGGTGAAAACGCAGAACCTGTCCCATTGGAATTCATGGTAAACCGACTGTAGTGCATTTCTGCGAAACACAAAACGCTGCGGAAAATGCTTAGGTGTGAACCTGGGGTTAAGCTGCGCTATTATTACATATTATTCACAACGGTTTCATTATAACAACATTATCCAAAATATATCACAATATACCTAAAGGTCACTTCACACCGGACCCTCATTAGAAACGCACAGGGGCACGCTGTACATTTCTGTGCGATTCACATGCGGCTCTGTGCAGTGCGATTTCAAGTCTGTTCAGGCTGAATGGGCTCAAATTGTGCTGCGCCTTAACTAGTGCATGCGCTACTTTTTAAAACGCACTGTAACTGGATCGCATAGCACAAAAGTACCATGCGATCCGGTGCAGCAGGTGTGGGCAGACGCACTGCATTGTCGACCTGCGTTTTGGGGTGTCTGAACATTTTATTGACACCTGTAAAAGCAGTGCAAATCTGTATATAAAATGCTGTAATCAAAATATGGACCAGCAAGAGGGGACAATAAACAGAAAATCTCATGAATATCTCAACTGCAGCGTGTTGTTTACTGTCCCTCCCGTCCTTCCCTGGCTCTAGGATTGACCCTTGTGGAAATGTATTAAATGGCCTGACAAGCATTGCTCGGGAGTGTGAGGCATGCTGGGAGATTTCTGCTGCGCCAATACCACTCTCACACAGTGAGCATGCTCAGTACTCCCTATTGGGCTGTTTGGTCTCAAGGGAATAGGTGGGTCTTTCTAGACGGATCAGATGATCAAATTAAACGTGACAATAATGAAGGAATAACGCCGCAGGAAAGGATTTAATGAACTTCTCAACTGCGGCCTTCATGAGCCATAAGACAGGCTGACGTTTTATCCCCCTTCACATGTCTGTGCTGGCCGAAGGCTTCAATGATGGAGTGTGCGGGACACATAGGGAGAGATTTACTAAAACTGGTGCAGCTGTGCATGACAGCCAATCGGCTTCCACGTTTTTAATGTCAAAGCCTGCATGGGTCGAATTCCAAACAATTTTTCGATCGAAAATCAAAAACATCGTTCGTTCTGTAATCCAATGGTGTCACCAATGACTTTGAAATTCTGTTGTTTTTTTTTATGCATTTCCCGGCATGCCCGATAAATGAAATGGGGAGGAACCACGAAAATCAGCCGGTGCCATTGCCCCACTAACAGAGCGAAAATCGGACAATTATTCTTGGGTCCGATTTTCAAACGAAAAAATCATTCGCAAATCGACCCATGTATGGCCAGCCTAAGTGAACAAGCTGACGTTTGATGCAGCTGTGCATGGTAGCCAATCGGCTTCTAACTTCAGCGTGTTCAGTTAGGCTTTGACTATAAAAAAACTCTGATTTATAAGTTCAGTGTTTTATCTGTTACGGATCTTTTTGTGTTGCATCTCCCCTTCACAGGAGGAACCCCCTGCACTTCCACCTGATCACCGACTCCATTGCTTTGCGGATTTTGGGTAATCTGTTCCAGACATGGATGGTTCCGTCCCTTTACATCAGCTTCTATAATGCCAGTGACCTCAAGGTACTATATCCAGAATAGGGGGCAGCTTTATCCATGGTGTCCAATCAGATCCCAGATAACTAAATTATAGTGCAGCATGGATAGCAGGCACCCCATTGGCTGGTCTTGGCATCACCTTCTTCCTACTCTTTTTGCTTTTCTTTTCTCCATTTCTTTTTGCTTTTCTTTTCTCCATTTCTTTTTTTTTTTTTCTTTTCTTTTTCTTTTCACTTTTCTCTTTTCACTCTTCTCTTTTCTTTTCACTTTTTCTCTTTTCACTCTTTTCTTTTTTCACTCTTTTCTCTTTTCTTTTCTTCACTTTTTCTCTTTTTCTTTTCACTCTTTTCTCTTTTCTTTTTCACTCTTTTCTCTTTTCTTTTCTTTTCTTTTCTTTTCTTTTTCACTCTTTTCTTTTCTTTTCTTTTCAACTCTTTTCACTCTTTTCTCTTTTCTTTTCACTCTTTTCACTCTTTTCACTCTTTTCTTTTTCTTTTCACTCTTCTCTCCTTTTCTTTTCTTTTCCCTTTTTTCTTTTCACTCTTTTCCTTTTCTTTTCACTCTTTTCACTTTTCTTTTCACTCTTTTCACTTTTCTTTTCACTCTTTTCACTCTTTTCTTTTCACTTTTCTTTTCACTCTTTTCTCTCCTTCTTTTCACTTTTTCTCACTTTTCTTTTCTCTTTTCTTTTCACTCTTTTCACTTTTCTTTTCCCTTTTCTTTTCACTTTTCTTTTCCCTTTTCTTTTCACTCTTTTCTCTTCTCTTTTCGCTTTTCTTTTCACTCTTTTCACTCTTTTCACTCTTTTCACTTTTCTTTTCACTCTTTTCTCTTCTCTTTTCACTTTTCACTCCTTTTCTCTTTTCTTTTCGCTTTTCTGTTCACTCTTCTCTTTTTTTCTTTTCTTTTCTTTTCACTCTTCTCTTTTCTTTTCACTCTTCTCTTTTTTCTTTTCTTTTCACTCTTCTCTTTTCTTTTCACTCTTCTCTTCTCTTTTCACTCTTCTTTTCACTCTTTTTTTCTTTTTCTTTTTCTTTTCACTCTTTTTTTCACTCTTCTTTTCTTTTCACTCTTTTCTCTTTTCTTTTTTTTTCTTTTCACTTTTCTTTTCTCTTTTCTTTTCACTCTTTTTTTCACTCTTTTCTCTTTCTTTTCTTTTCACTCTTTTCTCTTTTCTTTTCACTCTTCACTCTTCTCTTTTCACTTTCTTTTAACTCTTTTCTCTCTTTCTTTTCACTCTTTCTTCTCTTCTTTTTTTTCACTCTTTTCTCTTTTCTTTTCACTCTTTTCTCTTTTCTTTTCTTTTCACTCTTCTTTTCACTCTTTTCTCTTTTCTTTTCTCTCTTTTTTTTTTTTTCTTTTCACTCTTCTCTTTTCTTTTCTTCTCTTTTCACTCTTCTCCTTTTCTTTCCTTTTCTTTTCACTCTTCTCTTTTTTTCTCTTTTCTTTTCACTCTTTTCACTCTTTCTTTTCTTTTCTGTTAGTTTTCACTGTTGTGTAGAATTACTTAGTGGTGTTTAGTGAGTTTCTTCCAGCAATTTGTGCCTATGCCCCTTCAAAAATAGAGGTGTCACTTCTGGACCTGTTTGTTCCATATCATAGAGAATCCTCTGGGAAGAGTGACACCATCATTTTGTCTTTATAATGGCTGTAGTAGGTAAAGCTGAACTCCAGACAGATATAAAAGGCACAAATGAGTTTCTCACACTGCATTCTCAGAGCCCGCTTCCTTTCCTGGCTGGAAGACATCCAACATCATCTAGTGCCTTACTCTCCCTGACCTGCCCCTTTCACTCATTGGATTTCAGTTCTTTCAATCATGGAGGCTTGGCAATACCTAGAGTGGTCTGTATGCAAATGCTGTCTACCTACTAATGTCCACTCCTCTAGACTGACACCTACCCTTCAAATATTTTTGATTTTCTCCCAAGATCAGGGCTGAGGGATCTTGAAAAGATTACAGAAACAGGGTTCTGTGATGTTTTCGGAAAGCTAATAGCACCCTATGACTTTAGCACCCTGTTGTATAGAGAATCTCCCAGTCCCACCAGTTGATGACCCCTGGCAAAGAAGGAAGGAAAAATGATCTGCTTAAACTTCAGCATTCTAGTATAGAGATAAGTTCACCTTTCAGTACATGTTTCAGGGTGTAAGCATTTTACCCCCCCCCCCCCCCCCCCCCCCCCCCCCCCGATCCTCTGTTGTGACAGCTAGCAGGGGATCTTCTTCCCTTTCTAGCTGTCACAATTTAAAAAAAAAAACAACCAAAACATGGCCAGCTGCGTCATTCATTCTTGCTGTTCTGTGAATGGGAAGACTACAAGTCCCAAAGCCTTTGTGGCTGTCGGCTTGTAGTTCTCAATGAACTACCACAGCGCTGTTGAGCGCTCTGGTAGTTCATTGATTTTTCCTCTCGTGTAAAACTGTTTGCCCGTATGAGGTGCAAGCACACAGATTACACTGACAGTCTGCAGGAGGGTCCTGCATGGCACCAGAAATCTCCTGATCGCTGGTGCAATGCTTTCCAAGCTCCCAAAACAAAAAAAATAGTACATGCACTTTTTTTTTTTTCCTGCAAAAAAAATGTGCATTTTTGTATTTTTTGGTAAATGTGAACTTATCCTTTTTAATATTTCAGGATCCCAGAAAGGAGAAAATCACTCACAGAAGCTTGTATAAGGCATTTTTTTTTTAATTTGCTTGGCGAAATCTGGCCATACTTACTTTTCTGTCTCTTCACAGCCGGAGGTCTCCTGGATCCCCAATAAACATTACTCTGGAATATACGGCTTAATGAAATTAACCTTAACCAAAGCACTGCCATCCGACCTGTCAAAGGTCATCGTCCTGGACACAGACATAACATTTGCCACTGACATTGCCGAGCTGTGGGCTATCTTTAGGAAGTTCACAGGTAAATCCTACAGCTGTTTTTTCTTTCCTGTTCAAGTTGCAGGTTTTCATGTTATCTCTCACTATGACCAAGCTCTCCTGCTGTGCACCCTCTACCAAGATGGTATTTTCATTTCCCTGTGAACACCTTAGAAGTGAGGATAAATCTTTCCAGCAGATACACAACCATGTAGTCCCGACCATTGGTTTTTATCTGTTTCCCAATCTGAAGTGCTATCATTTCTTTTTCAATATTTTTATTAAAGAAGTTTTTGTTTTTATAATACAACAAGCTCATGATACGCCCACGCAGGGGCAGAGCAGAACAATAGCATATGTAAGCAGGTACAAATCAGCAGGGTGTATTAGCCAAGTAATGGAACATCCAATGACACCAAGGAGGGACGGCAAAAAGCCAAACCAAATAGTAGCAGCAGCAGTCCATCATATTACCGGGAAAAAAAAAACAAAGGGGAAAAACCCCTACCGAGAAGTATCAGCTCAGAACATACAGAAAAAAAAGAAAAACCCAAACTCAAAAAAAAAAAGAAAATATAAGAACATAGAAAAAAAAAGATTCAGGGAGAAAAAAGGGGGTGAAAGAAAAACTAGAAGAGTCACGGATCCAGGGCTAGCACAGGCAACGACTATAAGAGGCCATAACTAGTAGGAGGCAGGGACGGCAGGGAATAATGTATCCGAGGTTCCCAAACCTTAAGGAATCTTGAAGAACGCTAGACTTCTGTTCATTCATCAGCATAGCATTCATCTGGGTCTTCACCCCCTGGAGGACAACTGAAGGGGTTCTCCAAGCATGATCTATAGCACTAAGTGCTTTCATTTCTATCTCTTTCCTCTTTGATAAGATACTTCTTGTTCATGAGACCATGCAGGAGGTGAGGGGAATCCTCTCTAATGGGGGGGCACTGCTGGCAGCAATACCAGACAGGCTCCAAGGCTTCCCCACACCATCAGACGCTGAAAATGTTGGTTGAGTTCCACTTAATGATGTGTTTGTCTTTTGGTGGCAGGGGACCGGGTTCTGGGGCTAGTGGAGAATCAGAGTGACTGGTATTTGGGAAATCTCTGGAAGAACCACAAACCTTGGCCAGCGCTGGGCCGCGGCTTCAATACAGGTAACGTCCTTTTTATTTAGGTCTATAGCATCACCAGAAGTCCAGCATCTGCCAGTGCAAATTCACCAGTACATATGTTCTTGCCATTATATTGTTTAAAGGGGAACTCCTTCATGAGAGAATTTGTAAGCTAACCTTCTGACCTCTCCTTTTGAAAATGTGCATTGCCTGGCTGTAATTTTTAGTGGCTTCAGTGCTTTGAGTAGCTGACCCAGAACTGTTAGAGATAAAATAATTCTGAGGATTTTGCTGCATGCTGGTCCTGAGTTTGTGACTTAGAAGAGCCAAGCAATAGGTATATTCAGAAGGAGGTAATCAATGGCTGTGCCTGTGAACTGGTAACGGAAGGTATGTGCTGCACAGGCTACAAGGGAAAGCCTGTGTCCACCACTGAGAGTGCAGGCTATGGAAGGCACTTGTTTCAGCTCCAAGCAGCTGTTCAGTAAAGGATGGATCCCATGAAGCTGCACATCTCTGCAGACCTGCTGGTATTGGAATGAATGGCAGACTAGGCTCCTGCCAGGCCAGGCCAAACACAAATGCTCCTGCGCTTGGGAACCTTTTGGTTTAACTAGTAGTGAGCATATAATAGAGGGTACAGACATCTGGTCAGTTGGCTCTGAGGAAGAGGCAGGTCCTCGAAACGCGTCAGTCTATTGGAAGTCTACACTCCCTATTGCGGTTTTGACCAAGCTGTTCCTTTATGATGTGCCTTTGACTTTACTGTTGTTTGTGAGTACAGCACCTACTTTTATTGTTGTTTGTGAGTACAGCACGTGCTTTTATTGTTGTTTGTGACTTTAGTACAGCACCTTTTTATTGTTTTGTGAGTACAGCACCTACTTTTATTGTTGTTTGTGAGTACAAAACCTACTTTTATTGTTGTTTGTGAGTACAACACCTACTTTTATTGTCATTTGTGAGTACAGCACCTACTTTTATTTCTTCTTAAACATTTTTTATGGTAATGCACTAGGCTCCTGCGCCCTCTGTTTGTTCTTTTTCCTACACATTTCACTCTGCCCCTTGGAGCTTAATCATGTGGAATGGCCATGCCTGTGTTTCTCTCTCATGGGAAAGTGAATATGTAGTACTGGATCATAGGGTTGTCCTATTGGTATCGCTATCCAATAGTTGTCAGTCTGCTGGGCTGGCAGCTTCTACATCCCAGAGAGTTCTGACAGTTTCTTGGTTTGTCATGCAAAACAGATTTATTCAGATTAATGCTCTGCACCACAGATCGTCCAGATACATGTTTAGTCCAGTATACAGTCAAATTATCAAAAAGGGAAGCCGATGAGTTTTGGGGGTCCAAAAAAAAGTTCCCTTTATCAGGGCCTGAAACGGAAAACCAAGTATGTGGACTCGCTTGAGGGTGAAATCTTAATAGTACTAGGCACTGGTCACATCAGCATCTGGTTTTCCCATCCAACCACTTACAGCTCAGACGCAGCTTACTTTTTAATCTCTTCCGCAGGGGTCATCCTGTTGCTCCTGGACAAGTTACGTCTGATTGGCTGGGAGGAGATGTGGCGTGTGACAGCAGAGAGGGAGTTGATGAATATGCTGAGCACCTCCCTCGCTGATCAGGTAAGAAGATTGAGGTGATGGCTGTATTGTCTGCACACCCTCGCCTTGTCCCCTATATAATCAGCAGATCTCTCTCTCTCTCCCATCCAGGATATATTCAATGCTGTTATAAAGAGCTCCCCTGGCCTGGTGTATCAGCTCCCCTGCTACTGGAATGTGCAGCTGTCTGATCACACACGCTCTGAGCAGTGTTACAGTGAGCTAGCCGACCTCAAGGTGAGAGCGCTATGGGTTGTTCCCCCTTCATCCTTCCTGTCCCTCTCTACATTGTGCATAGCACGTTCTTCTATCCTGCCACCATTTGTACCCCCCCCCCCCCCCCCCCACCGACTCAGTCATCATGTTTATATCATTACTATAATTCTATACCAGTCATTGTGTGATCTGCCTTCAAGCAACTCCACCTTTCCATACATTTTTAAAAGTAAAGTAGCCTGGCTATGTTAGAAAAACAAAAACAAAAAAAGGCATTAAAGAATCTCTTGTGCTGCATCATTTTCCCAACATTGACCTCAGCAGATTTAATGCACCATGATCTAGAACCAGTCCTCTTCCAGGGTGAATGACACCCAATGTCGTCTAACTCAGATCCTGTGAGCCCAGGCCGTCATAGACACCACCACCCCGGGGGCAGGTTATCACACTGATATTGGCTTACAGAGCTCCTGGAGGGAGCAATGCCTGGAGTTCTGCTCCTTCCAGGCGTAATTACTGCCCACTGATACCGCCAGAGCAATAGAAAGACCTGTAACATTACATGACTGGCCGGGAGACTTGAAGAATAATTTTGTAAAAAACAATAAAGGTGCTAAGACACCAAGAATTTTTTCTGAAATGGACATTTGAGTAGGTACTAGTGAGTTAAACTGACACTAAAGCTTTGTGGGGTTTTTTTTTTTTTTTTTTTTAAATAACAGCTATGGCTATACTTGCCTGGTCTGTGCAGCCCTGATCCTCTTCTTTTCGGGTCCCTGTCAGCACTCATGGCTCATCCCTTTCGAGTAGTGCCCCCCAGGGAAAGCCGTTAGCCCCTGGGGGCACCACTGCGTGCTCGTCCCTAAGCCACTGCTCTGTGTCCATAAGACACCCCCCCCCCACTCTCTCTTCATTGGCTCACTGGCTGTGATTGACTGCAGCTAGAGCCTACGGGCTCCTGTTTTCTCAGCCAATGAGGATGAAGAGTCACCAGACACCAGAGGCTGTTGAAAACTTCTCTGGATCGGAGGGGGCTCAGTTAAGGATTTGAGGACTGGGCGGGCCACTGCACACAGAAGGTTTTTTACCTTCATGCTTAGAATACATGAAAGTAAAAAACATTGTCTTCAGAACCACATTGAATCACCAGACAGTTTATTCTATCTCTCAGGGTCTTGACTGGTGAAATCTCTGTGCTGTTCCCTGACCTGCTGTGCCCATTATGAGGGGCTTCCACTCTCATCCTGCTGGATTTTATATCTATATTATATGCTGAAGGATGTATTCAGAGGAGCTCGAACACACAAAGGTGGGTGGGAATATCTAAAACTACCAGGTGAACATGGATACAATCCAGAATTAAAGCAGAACTGAGTCCCGCTGTACAAAAACTGTGAGCTGCCTGCCTGGCTTTTATTGCAGAAGAGACGTGCACTGTCTGGCCTGCAATAAAGTGCCCCTTCCTGCTTGCCTGCCTTCTCCTCCAGCACTATAAACTGAGCAACGCATGCGCAGCTCAGCTTATAGTGCCGGGCCAGTCTCCAAGTGCCAGGATGACGGCCACCTGGTCCATGTGCAGGAGTGACCTCTTCCTCTGCAGGCCAATCAAGAAGCCCAAAGACCATCGCATAGGAAAAGGTGCTGGTGCCGAACCATTGGACAGGTAAGTATGGAGACTTTAGCTTTGCTTTAAGGCAGGGGATTGTTGCTGCTGGGTTATCAAACTCCTAGAAAACCAAGCACTGATTCAGGCCAGTGGGAAATGCCTACAACTTTTATGTAGAGTGACCCTATAAATTGACTTTCAGTAGAACCCCCATAAAGCCTGCACATGAAGCCATGTATTATGGCAATAGTTCATGAATTTGTTGGAAATAAGTCTTATTTTTGGTTTCTTGCTAGGAAGAGTATGAGTCTAAGGAATTTTAATTCTAAATGTTGTCCTTTGTTTCCCCCATGCAGGTGATTCACTGGAATTCCCCCCACAAGCTCCGCGTCAAGAACAAACACGTTGAGCTCTTCCGTACTCTCTATCTCACCTTCCTGGAATATGATGGGAGCCTTCTGCGGCGGGAGCTGATTGGCTGCCCCGGGGACAAGGAGCAGAGCAATGAGGTGGACCTTTGTTATAATTGACATCTACAAACTCTCATTTTTTATTCTGTTCTAAACGGTATTGTCAAATGTACAAATGCTTGCTCAAGCGTGCACCAGAGAGGCTTAGAATAACATTCAATTGGTAAAAATGAGAGCCAGATTGGTGCGCATGCAGGAAGGATACAGTCATGACTCCACTAGTTCTGTATATGATCCTTCAGTGCTCTCTGGCTGTTAGGAGTGTGTCTGATTCAGACAGACTAATTCTGAATTATTATTACATTTGTGTTATTGTGTCTTATAATTGGTGTTCTGTTATCCTGTATGCAAGGAATTGACACAACCTGATCCTGGTCTCCTCAAACACTGTTCTTATTGATTGTGAGTACCATAAAAAGGCATCCAAAGTCAGGTTTGAACAAACTCAGTCTGTATTTTTCCCTTCACTAGCTCAGGCAGGGTGATGCTGAGATCTCTTGGGGGTAGCTTAGGTAGACAGCTGCTGAGATTTCATTGTGGTAGCTCCAGCAAGGGTTTGGTGAGAACTCTTTGGTGTAGCTCAGGCAGGGTGGTGGAGAGTTATACTTGGGGTAGCTTGAGCAGGGTGGTGGTCAGATGTAATTGGGGGGGGGGGGGGGGGGGTTGGTAAGATCTCCTTGGGGTAGCTCAGGCTGGGTGATGGTAAGATCTCCTTGGTGGTAGCCCAGGGCAGGGTGATGGTGAGATCTCCTTGGGGGTAGCCCAGGGCAGGGTGATGGTGAGATCTCCTTGGGGGTAGCTCAAGCAGGGTGGTGGAAAGATCTCCTTGGGGGTAGCTTAGGCAGGGTGGTGGAGAGATCCCCCCCCTGGGGTAGCTCAGGTAGGTTAATGGTGCGATCTCTTTGGAGGGGACTCAGGTAGGGTGATGGTGAGATCTCCTTGGAGGTACTGTAGCTCAGGAAGGGTGATGGTGAGCACCCTCTTCTTGAAGGTAGCTTAGGCAGGGTGGTGGAGAGATCCCCCTGGGGTAGCTCAGGGTAGGGTAATGGTGAGATCTTTTTGTGGGGGCTCAGGTAGGGTGATGGCAAACTCCTTGGAGGTAGCTCAGGGCGGGGTGATGGTGAGCTCTCCTTGGAGGTAGCTCAAGCAGGGTGGTGGAGAGATCCCCTTGGGGGTAGCTTAGGCAGAGTGGTGGAGAGATCCCCTTGGTGTAGCTTAAGAAAGGTGGTGGAAAGATCTCCTTGAGGTAGCTCAGGCTGGATGATGGTAAGATCTCCTTGGTGTAGCCCAGGGCAGGGTGATGGTGAGATCTTGGGGTAGCTCAAGCAGGGTGGTGGAGAGATCCCCCTGGGGTAGCTCAGGTAGGGTCATGGTGTGATCTCTTTGGAGAGGGCTCAGGTAGGATGATGGTGAGCTCTTCTTGAGGGTAGCTCAAGCAGGGTGGTGGAAAGATCCTGTTGGGGGGTAGCTTAGGCAGGGTGGTGGAGAAATCCCCCTGGAGTAGCTCAGGTAGGGTAATGGTGAGATATTTCTTTTGCGGGGGCTCAGGTAGGGTGATTGTGAGATCTCTTTTGTGGGGGCTCAGGTAGGGTGATGGCAAAAACTCCTTGGAGGTAGCTCTGGGTGGGGTGATGGTGAGATCTCCTTGGTGGTAGCTTAGGCAGGGTGGTGGAAGGTCCCCTTGGTGAAGCTTAGGCAACGTGGTGGAGAGATCTCCTTGGCGGGAGTTCAGAGCAGGGTGATGGTGAAAACTCCTTGGAAGTACTGTAACTCAGGAAGGGTTATGGTGAGCTCTTCTTGGGGGGTAGCTCAAGCAGGGTGATGGAGAGATCTTTTTGGGAGTAGCTCAGGGCACGGTGATAGTGAGATCTCTTTGGAGGTAGTTCAGGCAGTGTGATGGTGAGATCTCTTTGGAGGTAGCTCAGGCAGTGTGATGGTGAGATCTCCTTGGAGGTAGCTCAGGAAGGGTAATGGTAAGATCTCCTCCTTGGGGATAAGCTGCGTTGCTGCTCCAGGTGGCCAACGAACACTCATGGGAATGCATATACTTGTATTCTCAGGTGATATTAGAGCTTGCTTATGCTGAAGCTGACCGATAACACGTGTCTGAGAAGTTATATTTTACCTGCATAACTGACTACTCCTTTATGTTCATGCCAAGTTTACAGCCCTCATTTTTTTATATTGCACATGCAAGTTGAGCCCTGGGACCATGTAACTCACTCATCTTTCTCCCACATGATATCACTTGTGCTTGGCAGTTAGCAGGTTAGGCATTCGTTGCTGTCACAATGTGTGGGTAGAGAGTTCTCAGCCTTGCTTGGACATGGCATTCCACTACACAGGGCTCAAGGCTTCTTCTGTCCCAGTCTCTGAATGATGCAGCAAGTCTGCAGAAGATGGCTATGTGCAGCTGGTAGGGTGTCAGGTAAGTGAACCATTTGCTTTTTCCTGCATGGGCAGATTCACAAAGTCTTCCCTAGAGAATCACTTTAGTATGTTATGTGACAGGTACACTTCATTGTAGCCCATATCGCTTGGTTGCACTATTCCCAATTGACATTTCTGGACTGTGTACACAGGCTGCTCTGGGACAGCTGGACGAGGAGGACGTCTGTTATGACTTCCGCAGAGAACGATTAGCATCCCACCGTGTCCACCTCTCCTTCCTTCCTCATCGAACACCCCCAGAGGATCCTAATGACATCACCCTGGTGGCTCAGCTTTCCATGGATAGGTTGGTTTGACATGTACATTAAAAACACTTAAGAGTGTGGCTTTTATGTGTTTAAAAGAATTCCTGAAGAGAAATCATTGATGACCTGAAAATGTTAGTTGCTTGACTCTCATACCTTTCTAATGTCTTCTGTACTGGATCACTGATCTGAAACGAATAGGTAGAGAAGGATTTCACTGGCTGGGTGCTTGTTCTAGGTCCGTCTTTCTGAGAGTACAGAAATTAGAGGTATATTAGGCCCCTTTCACATTTGCATGATCTGGTGCGGTGCATTCACACAATATGTCGTGGGTTAACCCTTTGAGGAGGACCAAGGGACGTATTTGTCCCATGTTTTTAATTGTGTGTATCATCTGATTAAGAACGTAAAACTCTTCTTTTTTTTTTTTTTTTGGTTTGAGTCAAAATATTAGTTCTTATCAACAAACAACAAATGGATCTAGCTTTTTGCCAATTATTTCATGAAATGGCTTAGTTACAGCAACTGAAGTGTACGAACTTTAAAAACAAAAAAATTGATTCTTTTGGCGTTCCAAAATCTTGCGGTCCTCGAAGGGTTAACGTGCCTTGCTTTAAGGCGGCCCTCGTTTAAATGGGCTGCCGATGGACCAGAAAACACACCTGTATCATTTGCATTTGCCATGAATTGCTGCCACTGCAACACAGGTGTGTTGGTGATATGGTCCTTTAGTGCGTCCTATATAGCGCCTTCCCATAATACATGTGTGAAGCCAGCCTTGATGCTAATAATCTCATATGATAGGAATGTACAGTTATCACAGTGGTATATAAAGGGAAATGCATGCGCACCCTTTTCCCAGCCAATTGCCTGGTCGTAGCATCTTCTTATGATGTCTTTTATAATAACTTTGTCCAATAAAAACAGCTTTGTAACAGCAATTGCCTGAACCCTTCTCCATCCAAAACACATCAAAACAATGTCTCCCCGTTTTTTTTTTTTTTTCATTTTCTTCTTGTTCTGTTATGATTTGTGATCTTTGTTTTTTTTTTTTTTTTTTTCTTATAAAAGTACTGTACAGTAGGATGAATTTGCTAAAGAAATTAAACCATACCATATCCGTTTCCAAAGAAGAGACAAAGGAGATCACAAAGTGTTTCAGAATGAAAAAGAACAAAATGACGTAACACAACATCATTTAGATGTGTTTTGTATTTCAATGGTTTCTATTAACTTTTGTGAACAATTTAGCAAGAAGGATTAGAGCAAAAGACATGCCCACGCAGGGGCTATCAATGGTACATACAAAATAAAGAAATCAGTATTGTAACCCCAACAATGGAAGAGGCGTGCCCACGTAGAGGCTGTCAATAGCACATAAAATACAGAAACAGCGATATAACACCAACAAAAATTTCAAGCCAAAGGCAAATTTCTATCGCCTCACGTAATCAAACAAAAAAGAGGAAAAAAAGAGTAAAGAAGGAAGAAGAAAACAAGACCAGAAGCAGGGATCCGGGAACGCCCTTACCATACAGCATCATAAACCCAGACTAGCCGGGGGGAGCATGGGAAAAGCATATGTCAACCAAGGCTCCCATATTTTCCAAAATTTTCATTGGGAGTCATTATGGATACTCAACATCTGTTCATTGAGCATCAGAGTGGTTATACGATCCCGCACCCCCTGAAGAAGAACAGACAGGTCTTTAATACCTGGGCAATTGTTCTAGTGCAGGGGTAGGCAACCTACGGCTCTCTAGCTGTTGTGGAACTACATTTCCCATCTGACATTGCAAAATTGACAGTTACAGCTATGACTTGCAGAGGCTTGATGGAACTTGTAGTCCTGGAACAGCTGGAGAGCCGCAGGTTGCCTACCCCTGATCTATTGGATGACACAAACAGATAGGAAGCCAACTTCTGCTGATGAGCCAACAGGTCCGATATGGGACGTTTAGATGTGTTTTGAGTAGAGAAGGGGTACCGGTGATCTCTGATACACAGCTGCTTTTATTGGACAAAGTTATCAGAACAAGCTTTACAATATTACTCCATCTCCTGAAAAAGAAGAAAAAAGTGTGATATTACATGCTTCACCTGTATTGAGACTTGTAGTTCTCCATGGCCTATGAGTGTGGTAATCTGCAAACTTCGAGCCCATTGAGACTTCTTCCATCTTTCATCCTCCATATAACTGAATTTCAAACATTAGTTTTCGATGCAATTACCTTTTTTTTGGGTTTTTTTTTTTTGCCCCTAGGCTTCAGATGCTGGAACTTATCTGCCGCCACTGGGAGGGCCCCATGAGCCTGGCCCTGTACCTATCTGATGCAGAGGCTCAACAGTTCCTGCGCTACGCACAAGCTTCTGAAGTGCTGCAGTCTCGGACCAACATTGGCTACCACGTGGTGTACAAGGAGGGCCAGCTGTATCCTGTAAACCTCCTGAGGAACGTGGCACTGAAGAACGCACAGACCCCCTATGTCTTCTTGTCTGACATAGACTTTCTGCCAATGTATGGACTGTATGACAGCCTGAGGTTCGTTCTCATATAGTATATGTTTAGGATTGTGTTAGACGTTTGCTGGAGAGTCTTCAAGACTTTCTATCCCAGTCTTGGTGTGAAGCTCTGCAAAATGGCTTGTTGAGCTTTGAAAGGCTAGGTATAGTGGGGCAAAGCAAAGTTTATTTTCAAAGATGAGGTGCAGCAGAATATGTTGCCACAAAAGAAACTTTCTAATTGATAACTTATTAAGGAGTGAAATTTAACAACTCTTGTTTGGTAATCCCAGAGAACAGTCCCATCTTCCAGGTTTAATCCCCAAAACCATGCCATATATTGCAGCTTACCAGTCAGATGTGATGGCTGTCTTAGCTGTCTTCATGCCTTTGTTCTTGTATTTTCATCTGGTGATCCTGCCAGTAATACTTCTTGTCTCTGCATGACATCACTCACTCACCATACCATACTATAACTCTGGTGGTGCAGTGTTCTCAACCAAGGCTGATTTTGAATACAGCACCCCTCCCCCCTCACATCTTTATAACAGGGGAAGGGGTTCTGTAGGGTAAATTTGGCACGGGTGATATCAGATTGTGATTTAATGTCACAATGAATACTGGAAGTTATCAGCCCACTGGATTTCTAACAGGATATTTTTTTTTGTTTGCACCTTATGAACATACTGTATATGACATGTAATTATATATTTTAACAGGAAAAGGAGCAAAAAATGGTTCATTGTTAGCTGCCACTTCTCGGCTTTGCATACCGAGTACATAACGTGAGGCTGTATACAAACGTTTTAGAATGCTACAATATATATATATATTTTGTTTTTCGGCTCTTTAAAGGGAATCTGGCACATAAACTCTTAGTAGTGAGCTTTGGATCATTGACCGCTCGGGTGAATTCCCTTTGCTAACTGGGAAATTGATTTAGTAGAATAAATATTTCAGATTTTGTAGCTGTTATTGGTTTGCTGTTTTTATGTGCAACATCTTTGCTGTTCTGACATTTTGCTATTTCCCTAATGTGGGGGAAAATTAAAAAGTTTTTCTTTTTTAGATTCTAAACCCTGCAAACTATACATATAATAATCCGATGTTATCAGGACCATCCATTGGGGTCTTGTAGGTGGACAGATGCAGTGGGATTTCAGGGGTCTTGTAGGTGGACAGATGCAGGGGGCTTTCAGGGGTCTTTTAGGTGGACAGATGCAGGGGGCTTTCAGGGGTCTTTTAGGTGGACAGATGCAGGGGGCTTTCAGGGGTCTTGTAGGTGGACAGATGCAGGGGGCTTTCAGGGGTCTTGTAGGTGGACAGATGCAGGGGGATTTCAGGGGTCTTGTAGGTGGACAGATGCAGGGGGATTTCAGGGGTCTTGTAGGTGGACAGATGCAGGGGGATTTCAGGGGTCTTGTAGGTGGACAGATGCAGGGGGCTTTCAGGGGTCTTGTAGGTGGACAGATGCAGGGGGATTTCAGGGGTCTTGTAAGTGGACAGATGCAGTGGGCTTTCAGGGGTCTTGTAGGTGGACAGATGCAGTGGGATTTCAGGGGTCTTGTAGGTGGACAGATGCAGTGGGATTTCAGGGGTCTTGTAGGTGGACAGATGCAGTGGGCTTTCAGGGGTCTTTTAGGTGGACAGACGCAGGGGGCTTTCAGGGGTCTTGTAGGTGGACAGACGCAGGGGGCTTTCAGGGGTCTTGTAGGTGGACAGATGCAGTGGGATTTCAGGGGTCTTGTAGGTGGACAGATGCAGTGGGATTTCAGGGGTCTTGTAGGTGGACAGATGCAGTGGGATTTCAGGGGTCTTGTAGGTGGACAGATGCAGGGGGCTTTCAGGGGTCTTGTAGGTGGACAGATGCAGGGGGCTTTCAGGGGTCTTGTAGGTGGACAGATGCAGTGGGATTTCAGGGGTCTTGTAGGTGGACAGATGCAGGGGGCTTTCAGATGCATTCAGCTTGTGTTTGAGATCTGCTTGAAAGTAAGGATCTTGCACACACAGATATCACTCAATATCTGCATCTCAGTAAAATATGTACAATATGCAATGATGAAGGGGACTCTGCACACCCGAAATGTCCTGAGTAAATGAAATATTGGATTGTGGTGTGTGGACGACTTCCTTGCTCACATCTGAAGAACCGCGCCCCGTCTTTATCACCCAAAATCGAATCTGGCAGTGACAGCATGGAGTGCAGCTGAGACTCTATTGAACTTGTTGAGATCAGTTTGAGGTGTTTCTAGATTCTGAGTCTCTGACCTACCAAGCTGCTTTTGCATTCCCATTGACTTTTAGGGGAGAAAAGCACTTTTGATGCAAACAAAAGCCACGTTCCTCAGGATGTGTACAGGTCCTTCTGATGCGTAACTGTTTTTGCTATGAATGTTTTGTCAAGCCTATTCCCCATTGTCCTATGTCCTATTGGCTTTTCTCTCCTCCCATCTAGGAAGTCCATAGTACAGGAAGACATGGCCAACACTCAGAAGGCCCTCATTGTCCCAGCATTTGAAACTTTGCATTACCGTCTGTCCTTTCCCAAATCCAAAGCAGATCTTCTCTCCTTACTGGATATGGGGATGCTCTACACCTTCCGGTAAGACTGGGCACAATGTATAGCAAACTCTTTGGTGAAGTGTCACTCCATTATTTTCCTTGCTTGGGCTAGTTAAACCAATGTCATGCAGTGATTTTTTTTTTTTTTCTAGTAATAAAGAAATTGCAATCAATAAAAGATCTGCACAGTGATTCCGGGGATTTATAGCTCAGTTGCTGACTTTTTGCTTTGACTGGAGCTTGTGACAGAATAGCCAGCTTCAGCAGCTACTTGTTTTGTCAAATATTTCTATAATTATGTCACTTGTGAAGGAATTCTAGTGTTCTCTGCAAAGCCCTGACCTCAGCCCTATTGATCAGCTTTTGGACAAATTGGAATGTCGACTGCCATCCAGTTCTTCCCATCCAATATCCGTATCTGACTTCAGAAATGTTGCTTTGGCTGAATGAGCAAAGATTTTCAAAGACTTGCTCTAAATTCTAGTGATAACCCTACCAGAAGAGTGGAGGCTGTTAGAGCCTCAAAGATAGGCCAATGCTATATTAATAGGCATGGTTTTGGGATGGGATGTCCAACAAGCTCATATAAGCTGTGATGGCCAGCTGTCTACAACCAGTGGGCCGTATGGTGTACTTTCAGACCAGCTTTATGATAACTTAGAATGTATCCTTGCTAAGAATACAAGTAGATGCAGCAATGTTTCTTGGTGTGCTGTGATGAAGACAAGTGCTGCTACCAGGCTCTGCATTTGGGAATTGCACAGAAACCTGGACAGCAGCTCCATCGGGTAAGGTCCTTTCATCTGCTGTAGTGTAACCCCCAAACTTTCTCCTTCCAGATACCATGTGTGGAAAAAAGGACACGCTCCGACCAACTATGCCAAGTGGAGAACAGCAACTACGTCATACCGTGTTGACTGGGCCCCAGACTTTGACCATACGTGGTTGTCCGCAGAGACTGTCCCGAATATGACCAGCGTTTCCTGGGCTTTGGCTGGAACAAAGTGTCCCATATCATGGAGCTGGATGCTAAGGTACGATGTTCTGTCTATCACCTGATCTAGCCCTAGGTTCTCCTCAAGGGGTTAAAAGTTTATATCTTGTGCCATTTATCCAGGGCTATAAATTGGTGGTGCTGCCCAACGCTTTCATCATCCACATGCCTCACGCTCCCAGCTTCGATATCTCCAAATTTCGCTCCAGTGAGAATTACCGCGAGTGCGTCAAAACACTAAAGGAAGAATTCCACCAGGACTTGTCCAGGAGATACGGATCGGCAGCTCTGAAATACATTGCGGCTGAGAGGAACCGATGATGGGAACAAAATAGATTTGTTCTGGTTAGCTGCAATAGAGAGGTAGGACTCTTGAGACACAGACCTCACCCGGCTCTCACTGAGTGGATCGAGCCGCACCGTGCCTGTTGGCTCCACTGCCTTACCCAGAGAGGGAAGCCTGCATTGTTTTTATGGATCCGCGTGCCTCAGTCAAGAACGGTTGAGCGCCTCAACACTACACCCGTTCCTCTTCTTGCCTTCGGAGGCATCTGCAGACAATCAGCCGAATCCCACCATCTCAGGCCTGATGCCAATATGTAGTCACAGACACTGAAGTCTTTGGAAAGACCACTGATCCCGATTTGATGTAAGAATGTTATATATTTTATTTATTTATGATTCATATCAAGTCGGACATTGTGCTGAGGACAGGACGGGATTCCTGCTTGTTACTTGATTACGGTTTTTTAAGATATTGAATAAAAGTATGTACTGTTTCTTACTTGGTTTCCTATTTGCATTTGCATATGTTGCAGAGATGCCTGAAGTCTTGTGTAATTGGCTGCTGTGAAGGGATTTGGGGGGTTGAGGTTCATTGTTTGTAGGACAAAGGAGAAGTCTAGATTTTGAAAAAAAACCATCATGATCTATAATGTACAGCGCTGAGCAAACCTTTTGGTGCTATATAAATAGATTACAGTCTTGGTTCAAGTAGTTTCAGCCTGAACGGCATATAAAAATAATTGAATGCAGTTATGTATTCCTTTAAAAATCCTTAAATGTATAAGTACCTGAATCTGTTTTTATTAAGCTTCCTGGCATCCCCATGCTAGGAGCACATAGGCTAGAAGAGAGAGGTCAGCACTAGGAGCCAATCATGAGTTGTCAAGTGTTTTTGCTGCTCCTTCATCATCCAATCAGCAGGCTGGGGCTTGCAAGGGGCCACCACTGCATTCCTTCACTACAACAGAGAAACTGAGGCCCTTTTGGCTGTTCAAGGTGTAAGAATCACAGATACGACTGCTCAGAATTACATTTCTGTAAGGGGGTAAGACCATTCACATATGTGCATTTCATCTGTGCATTTGGATTTTTGCCTGGAGTTCGGTTTTAACAATCTGAAATATGTCGTGATACCAGAGGGCCATGTTGGCTAATGGTTGAAATCAGACTTTGTTAGCTGATAAGCAATAGAAGAGGAAAAACCATGTGAAGAGTGCTTAGGATGGGTGTCACTATTTGTCCATTTTGGATACAGACTACTGAACTGTAGGCTCTGAAAAGTGTTGTCACCTTACTTTAGAATAGTAGGTGTATTGCACACACTGCTGAGTCATCAGCCATATGCAATGTGATGGTTTACACAGATTATTGCAGATTCCTGCCTCTGATCTCAGCTTACTGCGCATAGGCCACCACAGCACATTTGCTGAAATATATTAAAAGGAGTGCCAAGTGAATGGTTCTGTATTTGCTTGCTCAGTCCTAGAGTTGTTTGAAGTCTCACATCTCTGGTAACCCCTTTAGGTGTTAGTATGCCATCTGAGCTGAAACTCCCCATGCAGTAAATGTCACCGATGAGTACAACAGTCTACATCACACTGCACCGCTCACTATAGGAGACTTGGCTCTGGAAATTGTCACCGAGCTGGAAGCCCAGCCTCTAAATGGAAGGGGATGCTGAGTTTTAAACAAGTTTTATGCTGAGAGGAAGCAGAGCCAGTTACAGGAACAGAAATTTCCATTATTTTGGGATATCCTGACTTTGTTGCCAACTGAAAGAAAACTGAATTGTATTTATTCAGGAATAAGAGAGATTGGCTATGGCAGAGGGCAGGGGTATTGATTTAAAGTGCATGTAAACCCGAACAATGCTTCATGTGCCACCTGGCCTGAACACACTGACGCTGGCATTGCTAGTTTCCTGGCAGTTTGTCTAATTCTCCGGCTATAAAAACTGCTAGAACTTTATGGTTCCCGGTCGGTGACTACAAATCTTAATTAGTGCCCAGGATGTCATCGAGGCCCCCCACAGCATGAGCAGCTATCAGAGCTTCAGCCATAGCATCCTATACATCTCCTTTGAGATGTAACATGTTCAAAATGAAAAAAGAAATCTCTGCTATATATTTCCCTGGAACCCCCCCCCCCCCCTATCTGAGATTATGTAGGATATTTGCTTTACTGGTGTAAGTGATGTATGGCAGTTGTTACCTTTTACACATCTCTAATTGGAAAGAAGGATTTTTTTTTCTTTTCTGCCAGTTGAACAGAAACTGTGATTAAGTGTTGTGTGATGGCGTTCACCTCCCCCAACAGCATTATCCCTGAAAGAATTTGCCTTTTTAATGCCAAATCTCCTGTGTTCAGTCTCATTTTACAGGCTTAAGTTTCTTTTTATCCCATGACCCAGGGGGGGCGCACAGCTTCATGTTTATTCCACCCAGAATCTACTGCAGAACCTGAGCTTGGAGGAACAGCTACATATATAAAAAAGGGAAGTATGATGGATTCGTAGATCGGGGTCATCTGTTCCTTCTACTAGAAAACGTCCCCTGTATGTGGTTTAAATCAAGTCTGAGCCCTGTTGCAGCTATAAAATGTGCTGCAGGTCCAGTAGCCTGGGTAATACAGAATAAATCTGCATGCCATTCTAGCAACCCACAGTGCACATCCAGTCAGGTATTGAAAACACCTGGGCAGAAATCTGAGTGCCATCCCAGCCAATGCAATGCATTTACAGTTCCGGCATCCTGAGCAGAATGTCTGAGCCCAATCCCAGCCACCAGTGGTGTTGTGTAGCTGCCCTATTCTTTTTAGTTCTTTGAAACCCCAAATGAGACTCATTGAGGCTGAATTCTCTCCTGTGTGAACATGGCTGGCTTTCTCAGTAACAGGGCCCCCTTGCTTTATGTTGTTGGATTCATACTTGGTTTTTGGGAAGGTGCGTGCATCCTGGCATGCTTTTATTGCTTGATGCTCCTCCGCATGTGTTTTGCAATTTCCCTACCTGCATGTTCTTTCCTGGGGGGGGGGGGGACCTTTCAACAGGACAATGATCCCAAGCATACCGGTTTTGCTGTGCAGCAATTGCTACCAATTCCCTTATGGGGCTTGCTGTGCAGCAATTGCTACCAATTCCCTTTGTATCTCAAGGCCTGTATTGTAATGTGTGTGTTTTAAAGGAAATGGTCACATTGTGCCCTCTGCTGGTAGCTTTGTATAATGAACTCACTTATGGAAAATGACATGCAGGGAGTACTGTATTGGCCATCAATCAAAATGAAAGTTTGGCAACAAAGGGTATCACGTGAATGCCAAATTTTTTTTTTTTTTTTTTTTTTAAAGGAAATTTTTGCTGGTAGCTTTGTAAACATACTGTCATTCAAAACACTTCCTATTCTGCAAAGTTATTGCACATATTAACCTGTAGTATTTTGTGTGTTATAGGCTAGGTGTCTCCAAACTTTATAAACAAAAGGCCAGTTTACTGTCCTTCAGGCTATCGGAGGGAGTGGGAGTAGAAAATGCCCCAATGTCAGTAGGAGTAACCAAAAAAAAAAAAAAGACAGTGTTTGTAGTCAGTGGGAGGACTAGAGTCCAGTCATTGGTGGTAGTTGGAGGAACAGTGCCCCATTATCAGTGTCGGAGGGATAGTGCGCCATCATTGGTGTCAGGAGGGATAGTGCGCCATCATTGGTGTCAGTGGGAGGAATAGTGCCCCATCATTGATACGAAGGATGGGGCACTATTCCTCCCACTGACACCAGAGGCAGGAATAGTGCCCCATCCTTTGTGTCAGTGGGAGGAATAGTAAAACAAACAAGAGATCCCTGTGCTCAAATCCCAACAGCTAGTGCATGCATTTATCCATCAGGTGCTAAAGGGGTGTAACCAGATATTAACACCAGAAATTCTGAAGGACCCTCTGCACACTGCTATATACCCTTTCAAGCAGACTCTGCAATAAATAGGGATATTTAGTTCACACATATTGCAATACATGCTTAAGCTGGCCAACTGCGTCAAAGTAATCCCTCTATGGCCAGTCCTACTCTGCTCTGCCTACGCAAATGCTACTGTGGACACAATGCTAGCATAGGGGAAAAGACACAATGGGGAGAGCTACAGGTTGGGACTACTGACCCAACAATACAACAAACAAGATCCCTGTGCTCAAAGTCCCAACCTTGTAGCTCTCCCCATTGTGTCTTTTCCCCTATGCTAGCATTGTGTCCACAGTAGCATTTGCGTAGGCAGAGCAGAGTAGGACTGGCCATAGAGGGATTACTTTGATGCAGTTGGCCAGCTTAAGCATGTATTGCAATATGTGTGAACTAAATATCCCTATTTATTGCAGAGTCTGCTTAAAGGGTATATACCAGTGTGCAGAGGGTCCTTCAGAATTTCTAGTGGGAGGAATAGTGCCTCATCCTTGGTATTAGTTGGAGGAATAGTACCTAATTGTTTAGATCAGTGGGATGAATTGTGCCCCATCATTGGTGTCAGTGGAAGAAATGGCGCCTCCTTGTTGGTGGCAGTGGGAGGAATAGTACTCCGAGGGCTGGATAGAGGCAAGCAAAGGGCCGCAGTTTGGAGACCACCGTTAAAGGCATTGCAACTAAATAGAAAACAGACCTGCACTATTTTTAAAATCTGCACAGCATGATGAATGTTTTACAACCCGTGTCTACATGGTAGAAGATGCAGATTTGGTCATGCTATGCATTCTGTGTTGCATGTTTTGTAGTGCACTACAGTGAATGTGCTTTACAGCTCAGTAAGAGGAAAGGAATTTGCCACAAATCCTGTTTGTGCTCACAGAGAGTACAGGTTATCAGCAAAGGGGGGGTTATGGAGATATGGGGGGGGAATAATAAGGACTTTGTTCTTTTTAAGGTCTGTTGGGATGTAGTGGCTGAATGGACACAGTTGCTGCTCCTAACGGGTGCGGGGTGAGCTCCAACTCGTCACATTAGCCGGTGGTCCTATGTCCATACAGCTGCTGCATCCTCAGTCTTCAATGGGTTGGCTGCACA